ACTATGACACCAGAGCTCCTAAATAGAGGATAAGTCCATACAATTGAAAAATGCATCAGTTTCTGTAAAGAGTAAAAAATTATCAAACAATATTGATTGTTTTCAAAAGTAATGGTACATCATAAATTAAGCATTATACACATGTACTTAATCCGTATCAGTGTATCTAAATAGTTTAAATGATACTTGTTTTTCTGTTTTTGTATATCTAATAACACATTGCTTCCCTTTTTACTTTTATAAAATTCTCCCTCTTTCAAATGTGTTTAATAGATGTGCATATGTTTGTGTACAAAAGTAAAATGTCAGCTTTGTATACTCAAACTACCAAAGATATTTATCTCTCTACCACATGTGATTGTACATATATTTTCTTTTTGTTACCTGATTTATTTTTATAATTAAAAAAAGTATTTACAAAAATTAATAAATGTAGAAATAGGACCTAATTAATTTAAAAATGTCTATAGTGATGTATTTTGTCCAGATCATATTAAATTCATGTCTCTGGGAATTTTTTTCCCACTGTTGCCTACAGGAGCATTTCTTTCTCCAAAAGTTAATTGCACAATAGTTTCCTTAGTGATTTTGAACCAAGGTCACAAAGGACATTAATGTTTATTAACTTAGTTAACAGAATGCATACATTAACCAAGGAAAACAGAAAGAAACAAAGAAGAGCCACGTCAGTGTGGAAGTATCTTTCTCTGTGTAGAAGCATCTGCTCATCAAGTTCCCTCAAAGATGTGCCACATGCCAACATAGTGTCCTTACTTAAGAGAGTACAAGAAAATATTTCTTAGGCTGAAAGAAAGATAGAAATCTTGATGGAAACATTCATCAAATGGCTTCTGGGTAGAAAATTCAGAGGGAGTCTGCCTGTGAGTGTTCCTGCGGCTTCATAATTTTGAAAGATTGGAGGGCACTTACCTGTCTTCACTCAGACTTTTGGGTCAGCTTTCATCACCCTGAAGAGCTTTGGGGTAAAATGAGTATCTGAAGCTATGACTCTCAGAAGAGTAAGTATGTGGATCTTGGTCAGTTATCATCAACTTTACATAATTTACATATCAAAATGTTCTTAACACTGAAATTAATGACATAAAAATATATTTACAACATATATGTCAACCTATGTAAATAATTTTGAACATTAAAAATAAAAAGTAGTATCACATGAGTGTGCAGATAGTAGTAGTTTTATACCTTGGTTTCAAAAGCATATATTGGTATTCCCATTTTGGATGGCACATTGCAATATGATATGAAATCCTAATGGTGATGCATACCATGAATTGCTTTTAGAATAACTTCTGTCAAAAGTTTTTAACAGTGCTTTCTAAATGACTTTTTGTGAAATATTATAATTGTTAAAAGTCAAAAATAATGATGCTTTCCTTGGAAAAATGTGTTTTGTCCAAATAAGAGGTTCAAACAGGTGATTTGGATATTCTATGAAAATATCCACTTAACCACATAAGGTAGGTGTTTCTTTAAAAAAAAAAAAATGAAATAAGTATATTGAAATTAACCTATAGCCTACTTTATGCACTAGCAAATCTGATATGATTTAAGTGTAGTATACCTTGGGGAATGTATAGAAGCAACCTCTGTCAGAATCTCATTCAAACCTGAAAACACACACTCTTTCTCTCTCTTCAATATAATGACTTGTTTGTCCATGTTCCAATAGTTTCTTAACCTATTACTGGGTACCATTTAATAGATTCTGACTCTATGTTGAGATGTTAATGTCAGATAGAAAATATTTGAGTAACTTCCAGGATATATGATGAGTTGTACTTTAGGGAATTACCAATTAGGTAATTGGTAACAGCTAGTAATGGAAACATAGAATTGTAAGTCCTTGACTTTTGTTTTAAATATCCATAGGAGAAATATTTAGAGAAAGTATAAGGAACATCATAAAGAGCAAACTCCAAATAATAAATTTGACACAGAAGGGAAGGCAGTTGCTTTGGTCTTTAGGAGAAGTTTTCAACATAAATATCAGAGTAGGGGATCATTTTACAGTACAGATACAGAGGAGTTAGCAAATAAGCCTTTATCTAAGCAAAACTAACTACCACAATAAATTCCATTTAAGTCAAGGATATAGGGAACTTTTGTGAATGAAAGTATTTTAAAGGAGAGTGCCACTTTTTAAAAATGAGAAAGCAAAAAGCATATTCTAGGTCAGTAGGTTAAATATGTGATTCATATAAGTGACAGTAAAAATTTATTGAGCATTTGATAATCAGTCTGGGATACTGCTAATTGAATGATATAATTGAAATGAATCATAGCACCTAATTGTAACAAAGTGATTTCTTCCTGCTGAGTGCTAAAATCCTAATAAGCAGAGTATTCTGAGACTCAAAGACATACACTTAACCCAGGTTACTGTAGTTTAAGATGATTTTTCAAAGAAAGTGATGTCTAAGCTGATTGAAATATGTGTCTGTGTTACCAATTGGAATAAGTGGTTGGAGGGAGTTTAACAACACAAATCACTGCATCAGAGGTATTGACAATTCTTTTGTGTTTATGGTAGGTAAATATTCTCTTCTGGTAAAGTAATTCAAAAAAGTCACTGCAAATATCACCTTGCATAGAAAATATGACAATTAGCAACACAAATAGTCTACTCAGGGGTCAAACGTTTAAATAAATATTTCTATATATAAGTCAGAGTTTTGACTTCTACATGGAATACCTGTCATTTGAGTAATCTCCATTCAAACTCATCTTTTAATCTTTCTGTACACATTTCAAGGATGTTTTCTGTAAATATAAATTGAATACAAAGCAGCAGGAAGTACAGATGATTAAAGAAGAAATATTTCCAGACAGATACTCCATGTAAGACACCTGCCATAATATTTACTAGTCTGCTCATTTAATAAATAAATGAATAAAATGGGATTCAGGGAAAATTTTATTATGAGGTGCCTTGTAATCATTTGACTACGTACCTGGAACACAACAACATGATTATGATGAGGGATAAGGACTTAGAAATCCAAAACAATAGATGTTAATTAATATCATGGGAATTTATGAAAATACCTAGAGAAAGCATGTATAGTAAGCAGAGAAGAGATATCAAGAAAGGTCTTCAAAAAATAGCAATGCTATACGGAAGTAGGATTGCCCAACCTTCCTTCCGAGGAG